ATTTTTCTAATTATAGGCCATAAGCTTTATTTAAAATGACAATAAAAGGAATAACTTCCTCATAGGAGTTTTGTGAGAATTACATGAAATAACGCATGTAAAGCTCTTAGCACACTGCCTGGCACTTAAGTGCTCAAGAGTATGAATGATTATAGCAGCCATGTTATTTTACTACCTAATGCAGTGACTTTTACTAACAACTTTGCCATAGAATTACCCTGAATTACAGTTAATACCAAATTACAATAAACACTGAGTAAACCCTGTTGATCGTTCACCTTCCTACCAGAACCTACAGTATCATCGCTAAATTGGAAAGCAAGTGACATTCCATTGAGCTGTAGTGCAATGGTGGCTCACATGCTAGAGGTCTGTAACTGTTTAAGAGGCTGCCAAACTGTTTCCAAAATGGTGGCACTCGGCCACAGTCCCCAGATCATTATATGTGTTCCAGTTCTGCCACATTTGCCACCTGTACTTCACCAAAGATGATGTGCCCATCAGATCTTTGCCCATTTTTTATTGTGCTTGGTTGTTTTCATGTTATTGAACTTCGTAGTTCTTTCTATATCCTAGATACAGTTCATTTATTAGATAAATTATTTGCAAATATTTTCTCCCCATCTTAGCTTTTATTTTCATTCTTGTAACAGTTTCTAAGTTTTTAATTCTGAAGAAGTCCAGTTGATCAATTTTTCTGTTTATTATCAATTTTCCTGTCAGCGTTGTATTGAAGGAATGTTTGCTTAACCAAAGATCACAAAGACTTTCTCCTCTGCTTTTTTCTAGCAGGTTTATAGTTTTAAGTTCTACATTTAGGTCTACGTCCATTTTGAGTAAATACTTCTGTATGGTGCAAGGTAAGGATCGAAGTTTATTTTGTATTTTTGCATTTGGATATTCAGGTGTCCTAGCACCATTTCTTGAGTAGACTATCCTTTCTGTATGGTCTTGCCTTTGCACTTGTGTTGAAAATCACTTTACCATATATGCATGAGTCTATTTCTATGTTCCTTCTTCTGTACGCTGTTCTGTTTCCCTTGATGCCAGTACCACACTACTTTACATACTTTAAATTTATAACAAGTATTGGATTCAGACAGTATAATTTCTCCACCTTCATTGTTTGTTTTCAGCTCTGATTTGGGTATTCTAGGTCCTTTGAATTTCCGTATGAATTTTAGAATCAGCTTTTCATGTCTTGTAGAAAAGCCTGCTGGCATTTTGATTGAGTTGGTATAACAATAGTTCAGTTGCAAGGGTGGTGTTGAAGTCTATAACTGTAATTGTAGATTTTTCTGTTTTTCTATTTTACTTGCAGTTCTCTCATTGTTTGCCTCAGTCTTTCAAAACTGTCTTATTAGGTTTATGGCATTTAGGATTGTTACATCCTCTTGATGACCTGACTCCTTTTCCATTTGAAATGACTTTCTTAATTCCTGGTAATAGTCTTTGCTCTGAAATCTATCAAATCTACCACATCTAACAAAGTCACTCTAACTTTCTTTTGACTGGTGTTGAATGGTAGGATTCTTATAAGCAGCATGTAGTAGGGTTGTGCTTTTTTATTGAATCTGACAATCTTTGCCTTTGAATCATGATGTTTAGACCATTCACATTTTATGTTCAGGTGAAAAGCCACTATTTTCTATTTGTTCCATCTGTTCTTTATTCCCCTTTTCCCCCTTTTTGCTTTTAAATTTTCGTTTTTTTTTTTTGAGGCGGTTTTTACTTGTTAAAATTTTTTTCCTTGAGTTTTTCTTTGGTTTTTTTCGTTTTTGACCCGTTTTTGCCATTCCTTAAAAATTGCCACTTGTTTGTTTGCAGTATCAACTGACGGACATGAGGAAAAATAGAAATTTATCTAAATTTCAACCAAAAATATTAGGGGTTAGGAAACAAAAATGTTATGTGATATTTAATAATAGCCAATACTACCTTTATTCCATTTGGATCCACATATTTTTTGGAATATCTTTTTCATATAGTATAACTGAAAATCTAAGTACTGAAATAAATTAAATTGAACCAGAC